TAACCAACTGGCAGATAAGAAGTAGAAATTGTCCTGTAAGCACGGGTTTTGCTGTGTCACAAAGATTTTGATACGTTGTAGTTTTGTTCTGATTAGAATCAAATATTTAAGCAGGGTGTTATTCAATTTCCATGTATTTGATTTTTTTCCCTGGATCTTCCTGTTGTCGATTCTACGACTTTGATAGCATTGTGTTCTGAGATGATGCTTTGTATCATTCCAATGTTATTAAATTTATTGAAGCTTGTTTTGTGGCTTAACATATGATCTATTCTGGAGAATGTTCCATGTGAACTGGGAAAGAATGTGTATTGTGCTGTTGTTGGGTTGAGTGTTCTGTATAAGTTTATGAGGTTGTTGTTGGATTTTGTTGTTTAGTTTCTTCTGTGTCTTTGTTGAGTTTCTTTCCGTTGTTCTGTCCTTCATCAAAAGTGCTGTATTAAAATCTCCTGATGGTATTGCAGAGTTTCTGTTTCTTTCTTCAATTCTATTAGTTTGATTTATGTATTTTGAAGCTTTTTCATTGGTAGCATAGATAGTTATAGTATGGCTATATCTTCTTGTTCAATTGATCCCTTAATCATGAGATAATGTCCTTCTTTGTCTCTTAAGCTGGTTTTTACCTTAAAGTCTGTTTTATCAGAAATTAATATTGCCACTCCTGCTCAGTTCTGATTGCCGTTAGCTTGATATATATTTTTTAATCCTTTTTTTTTTTAATCTTTGTGTCTGTGTGTAAGGTGTATGTCTTGTAGGCAGCATATTGAAAGATACTTTTTTCTTATCTATTCTGCTTCTCTCTGTCTTTTGTCTGGTGCGCTTAATCCATTGACATTAATTATAATTATAATTATCAAAAGGTATGAATTGATTGCTTTTATTTTTGCTGCTGGTGTCTTTGTTCCACATAATTTTTTGTGTTGAATTTATTTTGTTTGTACATTTTCTTGATTAATGTAGTTTTAATGGTCACTTAAATTTTTATGATTTTCCTGTTTTTTGTTTTCATGTGAGCTGTACGCATTTTCTTTGAGTTTGCATGTAATTTATCAATTTCTTTCCAAGTTTAAAACAATCTGTTTTATCTTGAAGTCTACTTGACTTCCTCACCATTTGGAAGTTCGATATCTACACTTTTCCCTCTTTTTGCTTTATATATTTGTATTCATTATAAGTTGATATCTCTGGTTCCCTATTTTCAGTCTTGTAGGTTTGTTTTACTTTGGATACTTCCATAGATGAATTAGGGTCCTGGTGTGGCACTGTGAGTTAATTTGATGGACTGCAAGGTGAGTTTAAACCGCAGGGTCGGCTCGTTGGAAACCCTATGCAGGCTCGCCATGAGTCAAAACCTTCATGGACGGCACTTAACAATAGCAAACGTGTGAATTGAGTGAGTTCTGGGTGTTGTTGTTGTGTATGTTAAGCTCAGGTTGTTGTCTGCTGTTGTGAATTCTCATTCCAAATAAGTCCCTTTAGCATTTTTTGTACAGTTGGTCTGGTTATTACAAATTTCCTTAATTTTGTTTTTTTCTGGAAATGTTCTAATTTCACCAGCATATTGTGGAGCAGCTTTGCTGGGTATATGATTCTTGGTTGGTGTGGTGTAGTGAATTATTTAATGTGTTTCTTCTAGCCTTGTGTTTGTAAATCCCACCAAGCATTATTTCTACCATGCTAGGTTTAGATAAGAGAAGGAAGGAGAAGATACTGATGATTTGGTTGTGGATAATAACAGAGTTCATTGTTATTGTAAAAACTTGAAATTCTAGCATGGATATAAAATGAACCATCTCAGAAGCAGGATGGGAATATCACTCACTGCCATTAAAGAACACAAGCCATGAGTGAAGTGCATTCTTTGGACCCTGAGATTCCTGTGATTTGAGACTTCCTCACCGGAGACAGAAAGTTGTGGAAATGGAGGAGTGGCAGAGGGGTCGCAGCAACAGAACCAAGAAACAGAGCACGAGACAAAGCAGTGGACCTCCCAGCACAGGATCATATAAAACTGAGGGACTCTGGGCAGGTAATTTGCTTGTAGAGTGGGGTCATTCTAGGCACTTAAATGGGAGAACTAGGTTTGCTGAAAGGAGCTCTAGTAGCACAGTGGTTAGGAATTGAACTGCTAACCTCAAGGTCAGCAGTTTGAAACTACCAGCTGTTTGGTGGGAGAAAGATGAGGCTTTCTGCTTCCGTAAAGATTTACAGCCTCAGAAACCCTATGCAGGGTCTCTATGAGTCGGAACTGACTCTATGGCCCACTACCACCACTACCACCAGGTTTACTGAACTGTGGAACTAGGGCTGAGCGCCTTCATGCTGAGGTTTATGGTGATGTGCCCTGAGCATTTCCTGTTGCTGTAATGTGACCTGTCGTTGTTGTTGTTGTAAGGGGCCATCAAGTTGATTCTGACTCTTAGCAAACCCTATACACAACCAGAGTAGGTGCCAGACCCAGAGAGGAGAAAACACTGGGGTCTCCTGCCAGCCAAGGAGCTTAAGTATGAAACTGTGATACTCACAGTCCTAGATGAAATTCCTCTAGGCCTGTCTGTTGTCTGTTACCTCCACGAGTCATCAGTTTGTCTCTGCACTACCATGATGCTTGCCTCTAAAGCTGCTCTTAAAAGTTTTAGATGACTGTGCCATTCTGGGTGGGCCACCTATCTGTCCCTCTGTTTTTCACCTTGTCTGTTCAGCTTCCTCTCTTAGTCAGCATTCAGTTCACTTCTCTATCCCTTCTTCTAAAGCTCAGGGTTCCAGGACCGTCATCTGCATCTGTACCTTTGCTGTCCTGGATCTGCTTAGCATTTCTGCAGAGTCTGCCATCTTACTGCCTCCTTCGGCACCTAGTATTTTATTTCACTCCTTTCTCTGCAAAATCCAGATGTTTACAGGTCTGAGCTCAATAAGCTTTATGGACGTCCATCTAAAAGCAGGAGTTGCTTCTTTCATCTTTATACAGTGGCAAATACAAGCATGGGAAGACCCAGGAAGCTTCCCTAGACTACACAGTGCTTCCAAAAAAGAGTAGCATGTCCAGTGAAAGTTCTGGAAGCCTCTGAGTGTCTGTGTCAAAGTAAGGCTTCTCTCCAGCCACTGCTGAGGTCAATGGCCCACCACAGGGCCCTGTGAGTCCTCTGCTGAGGTGGACAGCAGTTGGAGGCATGGGATAATGCCGAAAAAGATTCAGTCAGATCACTGTGGGGAAGCTGGCCTGAAGCTCATTTACAAGTCTGATAACTGAGACTTACAACCTGGAGTCGGGAGCTAGCGGATCTGTGTGTCCTGCAGGCAACCAGGAAATATCCCCTTTAAGGGACGTTAATAGGTGCTTGGACTCCGGGTGTGGTGCTGTGGGTTAATGCACCAGACTGCACAGCCATTTGAACTGCAAGGTCAGCAGTTCAAGCTACTCTTCGGAAACCCTATACATGGTCGCTATGGGTAGGAACCCTATACACGGTCGGTATGGGTTGGAATCGACTCCATGGCACTTAACAACAACAATAGGTGTTTCGGTTGAAAATGGTTTGGGGAAGGAACATAATGACTGGGAAAGTCTGAGATAATGCTGAATAGACTTCCTCTTAAAAAGACGTTGGAGACCTTTTCCTTGATTAATCACAGTTCTTTCTTAGAGATGGTGTTAGAATGTGCTCGGTTTCCCCCAGTCTTTTGTTCAAGGAGCCCTTTTATGGTGAAGAGTCTCAGGGAGCTTGGTCCCCACAGAAGACATGGGAATGCTGCTGTAGGTGTGACCAGGCCCCACTGTCTCCTTTTTGCTGTGCTGTGTTCTAGAAGAAGCAAGGAGACTGAGGGTACCTTGTGGTTGACTGAGTGGAGCTTGGGACCACCCTCTGCCCCCATCCCTTCTTACCACAGTTGATGTCTGTGCATACCTCTGCCCTGATATATTGTTGCTGTAGGCTGCTGTTGATTTGGTCTCTGATGCATGGCGACCCCATATAATGGGATACAGCCGGGAGAGACTCAGTCATTGTGCTCCATAGGGTTTCAGTGACTGAGTTTCAGAAGTAAATCACCAGGCCTTTCATCCTAGTCTGCCTTAGTTTGGAAGCTCCGCTGAGATCTGGTCAGCATCCTAGCAACACGCAAGCTTCCTTTGACACAAGGGTGGTGGTTGAGCATAAGGTCCTTTGGCTAGAAATCAAAGTTGGGTCTACAGCATGAAATTTGAGAGTTGTACCAGAGACACAAAGAGATCTAGTAGTATAGTGGTTATGAGTCGGGCTGCTAACCTCAAGGTCAGTAGTTCGAAACTACCAGTGGTTCTGTGGGAGAAAGATGAGGCTTCCTGCTCCCATAAAGCTTTACAGTCTCAGAAACCCTATAGAGGATGGCTGTGAGTTGGAATCGACTCCACAGTACACCATTACCACGACCACCACCAGTGACACACCTAGGTCCCTCTTGGTATTGTTACTTGTATACTAATGTGAATAACACTCTTCTACACGGTTTCATCCTCATCTGTACATCTACTCACCATTCCCTTCCACCTGAGCAGACTTGTTAGGAGTCCATGTTCATGGAGGAAAGGAAAGGAATGGGCTGGCTGTGCATTTCCATGGTGACAATGATGATAAACAATCTAGGTTACCAAGATGGTGCATGGTGAGGTTGGAGGAGGAGCGGAAAGACCATGAGCTATCATGAACCTTAGAAATACGTGGTTTGCCTGGGTCCTGTAACTCCTTATTGAGGCCTCTGTTGGAAGGTCTCCTACTGAGTTTCTCCAGAGCCGAGCTTTTCACATAAAAAGAGAGGGATTTGTTCTTGAATACCTGTCTCTAAGGAATCTTCAAGCTCTACATTCTCCTATAGATTTTGCCAACAAGCCATTACCCTTCTGGTACCTGATAGGGCATTCGGGGGCAGGGATCTTGTGGCCCATTGCGGTAGGCACATGGGAAATAGTATCTTTGCCAGTCACCCTGACGTTGCCTCTAACTTTCCTCTTGCTTGATTTTCAGCTCCTAACTATCGATGACAACTTCTGTGGCCTGGACATGAATGCCCCGCTGGGGGTGTCTGAGATGATCCGGGGCACCCCTGTCTTCACGGAGGACAGTGATCGCATGACTGCGGTCATCGCCTATGTCTACAAGAACCACTCCCTGGCCTTCGTGGGCACCAAGAGTGGCAAGCTGAAGAAGGTAGGATCAAGATGATATCGTTGGGTTGTTGTGCCGATGGTCTGTCTGCTCTAGGATGGGTATGCTCTCACCTGTGGCCTGAGGGGCTAGTGATACAGGTGTTGTTGTTGAGATTATAAGTTATGACCTTGTTGTTGGAAATCAGACAGGGTGAGGTGTGGGTTCATCTAGAGTGGGTGTTATATACCAGCTGAGAATTTATTGTGAGGTGTGTGCTGACACCATATGGGAAGGGTGTTATTGGACCTAGGCATTTGGGGAGGGCCAGGAAGGAGTGGCCAGGTCCTTGGGCTCCAGTCCGTCTGACTGTTGTGTCCATCTGGAATCCATTCCGGGACCAGATGTAGGAAAGTGCAGGCCCTGTTTGAGGGGCGCATGGGCCTGCAAGTCAGATTGTGGGACAAGGAAACCCTGTTTGCTGTGAGAGCAAGAAAAGGGCTTAGTGTGGGAGGGATGGTCTGACAGGACCTGCCTTTTCCTCCTCATCTCCGGAAGCTCCAGGTTCATAGGCACTGATTGGTTTTGGTCCCTCATCATCAGCGGGAGTCTCCTCCACCCAGGAACGTGTCCTGCAAAGGACTCATTGCGGGGAGGGAGGGCCGGCCCCACCCTCACCTCCTTGACTGAATGAAGAGCCTTTCTAAGGAGCTCTGGTAGCATAGTGGTTATGAATCGGACTGCAAACCTTAAGGTCGGCACTTCGAAACTACCAGTTGTTCCGCGGGAGAAAGATGAGGCTTTCTGCTCCTGTAAAGATGTACAGCCTTGGAAACTCTGTACAGGGTCGCTATGAGTTGGAGCTGACTCCACGGTACTCAACAACAACAACTAAGACTCCAGGTGGCAGGGCTGATGACCGATAACTGCCCTGCGAACTCCCCCTAGAGGAATGCCGGTGGTGTGCCGGTGGCGCTCATGCTCGTCTTGTGTGGGCTTCCCTTGGACTCCTCATGGTGGTTCTGACTTAGTCAAGAGGGTTGGCTGGGTCTGAGGCTGAGCCTGGATCCCTCTCTCTCCCACACTGTATTGCTGGGCTGTGGTTTCAGATGTTCAAAGAGCAGTGTGGGCTAGTGTGCGTTTGCCAGCCATCATTTCTTTATTGAACTTTCCCTCTCTGTGGAGCAGATCTGGTATATGCAATGGAGAGGTGGGGCTGTGCTGGGGGAGCACTTACATGGGTAATTTCTGAAAAAGACCCTACACTGATAAAGGATGATGCGTGCAACACACAGCCATCCAGGGTTGCCCGGGAAGATTTTGACATGCTGCCTTAGGATGTGTGTAGGATGTGGACACCTTCAGGACCCGGGGTCAGCAAAGTGCACGGTGGTGACCCACATGGAGTAGGTGCGGGCAGAGCCTTGTCTGGAAGGGTCCCCAGGGGCCTCTAGCCAGGCTGTGATGGACAACACTTGGCTGGGAGTCAGGGACTTCATAAACTGCAGGCTGGCATTTCCCATCTCGCACTCTGGTTGGATTTACATGCCAACAGCTCTGATTTAGCCACCTGGGACATTACATGTAATTTCCAGAATAGTGTGTGTGTGTGTGTATAGTTATTAGTGGTGGTGGTGGTGGTGAGGAATAGACATTTAAGAGATTTGAGTAGACGGGTCAGGGAGAGAAATGAGCTGTTGGTCCCCTGACGACAGCCAGGCATTCAAGGCCGTCAGACTTTCTGCTTTAGGGACAGAATGACAGTCCTTTCACGGTTTTACCAGGACCCAGTCTCATCTCCTGCAGTCTACAGAGGAGACCATGCAATAGGGGGAAGGAAGACTGGGCCTCCCAGTCTGTTGTTTGAAATAATAAAAGGCAAAAGTGGCGGATTTGGAATGTTGACTTTTTCCAAACAATAGCGTTTCCTACTGCTCCCTGGTCATAGCTCTTTGTGGGTTGTCGTGCGGCGTTATCAGGACTGATTTCACCTTCCTGGCCAGAGGCCCAGCCATGGACAGCTCTGGGCGTCAGGAGGATACAGCAAGAAGTTCTGTGAGGTTCAAAGCAGGGGTGAGAAGCAGCTGCCATTACAGAATGGGCTTCTGGGAGCCTGTAGGAATCCCCACAGGGATCCAGGTTCTTTCAAGGGACTTGAGATGGAGGTGGAAGGGTGGGCGGGAAGGGCTCAGGGTTCACTGTAAGTAGGGGAATTGGCTGTAGGTTACAAGATCTAGGAGGTAGGCTGTAACTATCCCTAGGCTACTCTCAGAATTACTGACTTCTTCCTTTGTTTGAAAGGGGTGGGTCCCGATCATTTGCAACTTAGCCTCTGAGGACCACACTATTAGTTCAAAGGATGAGAAGGTGAGGGAAGTGCCAATTTGGATGCCTTTTTTATTTTTCTGATGTATGTGTACAGGTGGTTCTACAACCATCACCCTATGACAAGTATGAAAGGCTTGTGTTGGTAAGAAATGTAGCCCATAAATGCCCCCGTCACCGGGCACTAGGTAGGAACTCAGGAATAACCCCTAGACTGCTAACATGTCAGCTGCAGGTGAAATTTTTAGATGGATACTGTCTTGATTCACTTTATTCAGGATGTCTGCTGTGGGATAAGCAATATAACTGATAATTGCAAGGTCGGCAGTTCAAACCCACCAGCTGCTCCATGAGAGAAAGATAAGGCTGTCTGTTCCCTTAAAGACTTACTACTTTGGAATCCCAATCCAGAGTTGCTATGAATCTAGAACAATGATGGCACTTAACAACAGGTGTCTGTATAAATCTGAAAACTTTCGATCCCAGTTGCTGTCAAAGCCAATATCGCCCCCAAAACTCATAAAACAGACTCACTGCTTGTTGACTTCATTTGGACTCATGACGACCCCGTGTGTTACAAGGTAAGTCTGTTCCATAGAGTTTTCTTGGCTGTTGTCTTTCTGGAAACAGGTGGTTTTTTTTCAATGGCACCACTGGATGGACTTGAACTGCCAACCTTTAGATTAGTAGTTGAGCAAATCTGGAATCTAATGAGACCACAGAAGAGTTAAGATTTCTTTGCTTAGATATTAATGCCTGAGTCCTCTTTCCCTGCCTCTTGCTTTCCCTACACTGTTGTTGTTGTTAAGTGCTGTAGAGTCAGTTCCGACTCATAGCAACCCTGTATAGGGCTTCCAAGAAGTGGCTGGTAGGTTTGAACTGCCAACCTTTTGGTTAGCAGTCCAGTACTTATCCTTCAGTGCCACACCAGGACGCCACTAAGGGATTATAAGGACTACAGTGAGAGATTTTCTAGTTCTATTGGTTGGTAAATTATTGCCTGACATTATTGGGAAGGGACTAATTTTCATTATAAACCAAACTGAGGGGTGACGCCCCTTCTGCTTTGTGATTACGTGTTTGCTGAGTTAAAACCGTTCACACCTAATGGAAGAGCCCATTGTGGGTGCTGGTGAAGCAGAACTCCAGGCAACTCTGTGTGTCGTCTACAGTAGGGAATTCACATGACCATGTGGACACACCAAATCATGCCAGTCTCTCTTGGTAGGAACTATGTCTCCATGGAGAGTCACCAGGAATATGAACACCAACATTCTCAGTGGAAATGTCCACGCAGATTCATGCAATCTCCTGAATTGTGATTCTTTTTCTTGAGCTTGTGTTAAAATCCATTCGCTTGTGTTTCCTGGGCCCCACTACGGATCTAGAAGTGGAACTATCCAGAGTGGGGCTGAAGGTGATGTACCCGGGACTAGTGTCATGCTGAGCGTTGCTCCTCAGGATTGGATATTGGGTGTGTGTTTGCAGTTCACTCCAGTGCCCAACTCACTAAGCAATATCGAATCAGAGATTATCTACCTCAGCTTTCACACTTTCTAAATGGATTTGAGAATTCCTTTCAAATTCATCAGGAATGACACTGAAAATAAACGCATGCTACACAAAACTTAGATGGGTCCATGAGAGGATACGTTATTGGAATTTCAGATTGCTGGAATCCTAGCAGGATGGCTTGGCATGAAGATATTGACCACTTAGCTACGTGGCTACGTGGGAAGTGCCGTCCAGTTGGCTCCAATTCATAGCGACCCTGTATAGGGTTTCTGAGGAGTGGCTGGTGGGTTTGAATGTGTGTTTGGGCACAAGCAAAGGAAAGAGAACATGGCGACATCAGTACCGAGCAGCTTCTGCTCTGGAAGAAGACCATCAAAACATGATGGCTGGATTGTACTGCCTTGTGCTGTGGTGTTTTTGCATTTCTACTCTTTATGTTGCAAGTATTCAGCCTTTATAGATGGTAAGCTGTGAGTCAGGTGACTTAAGGCAAAGATGGAGGTGGAGGACCATCTGTGATTGCGTGCTTACCGCCGGGAGCCTCACAGATGTATGAAGGATGCTATTCTCTGTCCTTTATGGACAGAGGAGATGAGGGGGCTTCAAAAAGTTTGTGAAAAATTCCAGTATTTTTTCAGTTCTGTTGATTCATGAGCTTTTTGAAGCTCCCTCGTAGCCTGTTACTAGTCCTTCAAATCCATAGATGCTAAAACCTGCCCTTCAGACCCACTTTACCTCAAGTCAACTTGTCCTCCTGCCAGTCTCATCTGCTGTGTCTTAAGTGTTATGGAGATATGGAGAGAAGCTAAGCTCTTCAGTGCCCTCTGATATATTCTATATTCTTGAACACTATAAAACCCTTACTCAACCCTCCTTTTAGCTTAAGTGGACCTCTGCTGACCCTGTTTTCTTACCTGAACTAATTTTCACCACTAACTTTTGGTCCCAACTCACCTTCCGTGCATGTCTGAGAAATCTCCATGGATCACTTGGTGCTGACCTGAACAAGCTTGGGGAAATGTCTTCACAGTGGCACCTTCTCAAGACAGCAACTGGGGAAAAGACCCCTCCTGCCCCAGCTTCTCTTGAAAATCCCTTTGAGATCCCCAGGAATATAGGACCTGGGAACATTTATCATTCTAGTTTCCAAGTGATCTTTTCTAGTGTGTATGATTCAAGGAGATAGTTTCCGATGAGCGTTGCCAATTCAGGCTTTATTGATA